AAAAAAAAAACTAAAAAAAAAAAAAAAAATAAAAAAAAATAAAAAAGAAGAAACATGTAAGGGAGAATCGCGTTTTATAATCCTGGTGGTGGCCTTCAGTTGGTATCGAGCAAATGCAAAAAATCAACTTGCTGCTTTAGCGCACTTGTGCAGGTGATAAAAAGATGGGATCAAGGCAAACCTACCTGTTGCTCCTGCAACGCCTTCTCCTTGTCGGTGGACAGGTAAGTCGGACTCAGCACTGTCCTCAATTGTTGTTCTACCTGCATAATCTGTTGCCTCAATTGTTGTATCTCCTAGAACGACAAACAGATGTCAGCCGCATTCTTTTCGAAATCATAAAAATTACTGATCTTATTTCTTCGAGTAAAACAAATTGTACGTAATTATTTTCTCGAAAAAAGTATTATTTTTTTCGATGGTGAATAGGCGAAGCAAGATGATAGATTGCTCAGATAAATTTATATTGCACGTGCAATTTTTCTATAAGTGCAACGTATAAACGCACTTGGATTATAAAAGATGTAATTCTTTTGAATACATTTTTGCATTTTTTAAAGCAAAACATAGTATTCTTTTTTTCACAGTTGCAATTTTTTCACAACTGTAATTTTTATACAAGTGTAACTTGCATTTTTTCTTTTTCATTACAAGTGATCACTTGCGAAGTGAAAGTGTTGCTTAGATGTTTTTCACTTCGTTTCATCGACTTATTCACCATTTTAATATCTTAGATCAGTAATCACGTTTCAAAAGAACGCAGCTCCAGTCAGGAGCGAACCCTGACCTGTTGATATTGATCGATCTGAGCTAAACAACCCTCCAACGCTGTGGTCTGTTCCTTCACGTTGGCGTGAAGATTGTCTAACTCGGCCAGTAGCTCGTCAACCGTTTCGCCGATTCGGCTATCGCCACCGATCCCCGACCGGAAGTGAACCTGGAGCTTCTCCATCGATATACCGATTTTCGTTTTCTGTATCGCGATATCGCTCAGCATTTTCTCCCGTATGCTGTGCTGATCCCGTAACGGTTTCTTTTTGTTCTGCGGCGATTCGAGACTCTGTTTCGCTTTCTCGATCCACGTTTTCACCTCTTTCATCTTTCGCTCGCATTGCTCCCATTCCTCGCTAGTTTCTTGCAGCAGCGCGTTCTGAAACGAGTAATTCGAACCAATGTTCATCTTACGCACGTTTTTCCCTTTCCTATATAGAGTTTGTAAAAACGAGAAAGAGAGAAACCAACCCTCTCCAACAGTTGACCCTCGACTTGAACCTTAGCTTCTTCAGCTTCGAGCAATTTCTCGGGCAAGTCGCCCACGCTGCAAACCTGACCGATACTCTCGAGCTCCTTACCCATGTCACTGAGATTCTTGTTGATCTGTTTGCAGCTTTTCACGGCTGTCTGCAAAGCGGCGCGGAACAGATTCAAGGATTAATAAAATTCCCGATAATACGGAGGAGAATACGAGTCGAATTTCTCTATTTTTCGAACGAAACGCAGAGGAATATGAGTTTTTCCGAGTAATTCTAAACAAATAAAAACTTCTCTTCCAATACGTGTAATAATGAAATTTAGAAATAAGGCAATAAAAGATCGATAAATCACGAAACCAATTCTCGAAAACCCACATTCTTCCGTCTCCCATAAGAATTCTAGAGAAGCACAACTCGTCGGTTCATTTCCTCCTCACGTACCGAATATTCGTGCAGCCTCTGCCTAGCCTGCACGAGGGTGCTGAGCTTCAACGGCTCAACCAAGAATTGTCTCTTCTCCTCGGTCCACGTCCTCACTGCCTCGTATAACGACAAGAATCTCTGCCAAGCGTCAATGGTGTCCGCCACCACTTGTTTCCTCTCGTCCAACCAATTCCTCACTTGGTTCAACTGTTCGGTCACGTTGTGAACGGTGCTGTCGATCAATTGTTTCTCCGTGTCGTCCCTCGTGTTCTCCGCAATTGTACGGCCATTTCTCGTTAATCGTTCGAGCTTGTCGCTGATCGTGCCCAACTCCTCTTGCACCTGCCTCAATTGATCCTTGAGAGGTACAGGCTCGATCGATCTGTCCTGAACCTTCAACTCGGCCTGCCTGATCCACGCTTGAACCTCGTCCAGATCGGTCAGATAATCCGATCTGACGGTTCTCGCGCGCTTCTGCTCCCTCTGTTTCTCCTCCATGGCCTGCGCTGTCGCCTCGGCGCAAAGTTCGAGGGCGGTCAGGTGTTGGGCAAGATCGCTGGGGACCAGCTGCTGGCTAGCTTGGTACCGCGCCTTAGTGCTTCCTGAGAACTTTTTCCCGCTCTCGAGGAGCTGCTCGACAGCCCAACGCAGCTCGTCAAGCTCCTCCTCGGTCGCGTCCTGATCCGGCCCGAATATGTACAAATGAGAGGCGCGTTCGCGCGCCTCGTTCAGATGCTTCCTCAGCTGATCGATCTCACGCTCGGTGCCTTCGAACGCTTCCAAGTCCTCGTCCGCCTTCTTGGATTTCGTCTGCAGGGTGTCGATGAGCCTGCAAACCGATTCCCTCTGATTCGCTATCTCTCGCGCGTGAAAATATTTTTCTGTCGATCTCCGATTTGGCGTTTCTTCGAAGTCGAGAGCCTATAAGGTCGCACCGCGATTATGAAATGATAATTGGGACGAAGTTGTGCTAAACTCGGAGAGATCAAAGTTTAGAACAAGGAAACACTCCTGTTCTTTCTTTACCTTTTATTAAAACTTCTAAAATCGTATCTCACGAACGATGTCAAATTATATTTATCATATTTTAAATTAAACTCGAGAAGAAATTAAAGATAGATGTTCGATGTTGAACAATTTTAAAAACTCTGGCTGGTCAAAGAAGCTTGGAACAGCAACAACTTACGCGCGGTCTCGAATTGACGGACACGTTTACGGCACGACCGGAAGTTTTACGTGTTCACAGAACCGACAGGATATCAACGTGACCGTCGGCGAGCCCGTGGTCGCTACCTTACTAACGGAAAAACGATTTGCCCGTTAGTGGCGTGGTTGTGCACGGAGGCCAGGCGTAAAAATAGAATTTAGCATATTTCCTTTGGCCTACGGGTCTCCAATAATGCGTGCCAACGTGGCGACCATCGCGGCGCCCCGTTGGATTTGTAGGGCATAGGTTGACGAAGGAGCACGAGGTGAAAGAAGAAAAAGCCGAGGATACGACGGATCGATCGAACACGAGCAATTGTACGTGGTACGGAGGTAAGACGAAATTAGAATCGGAAATGCGTGTCGCTGGTTCAGCTGTAGCTAGCTGGCTTCATTCCAGCCAGAGCGGAGGACGCTTTGGCTAAAAGTAGACGAACTATATGTGCGCGGTTGTGTTGAGGAGCCGGTTGGTTACTTGTCGGAATTGGAATTGTTCTTTTGTTAATGAACAATGTTTCTTTTTCTTTCGAATAATTCGTATTCGCCAATTTTCGCTGTCTGTTCTTATTATTTTGGGATAATCGGGGTGGATGATGAAGAGATGTTTTGGGAATTTGAAGTCGGTCGGTTGAACTCGTCAGAATTGGAATTATTTTTTTTTTTTATTAATATTTTCCTTTTCAGTGATATTGATATGCCAATCTTTGTATTTTAATCGTAATTGAGGGGTGGATGACGAAGATACGAAGATTTGTAAGAAGTCTGTTGATTAGTTGTCGGAATTGGGATTATTCTTTCGTTGATGAATATTTTTTATCCATTTTCTATATCTTTGTTTCTTATAATAATAATTGGATTCATAACTATTACAATCTTTCTAAATAATTGGCTAACTTGCATATTATCGAAGATACATCGACATAAATATATCATATATCAAATAAATTCGAAGAATTGATGCTTTTAATCTAATATTCAGGAATTCGTAAATGAATTATGATAACGTTGAATCTCATTACGTTAAAATGTATTCAAGTGTATGTCGATGCCAAGTATTTTCACAAAAGATGACAACATCGTCGTAGTGTATCATGAGGAATGTCGCAATCAGTCATCGCTCTGTTAGGATTCGTCTTTGAACACGAACCATCGTGTTTTTAAGGTGTTTTATATCGAACAACAATGACGTCGGTATTAAACTCGCGATTTTGATTACTCATAAACTATCTATTGATCATCTACAAAATATTTCGATCAAATTTAACAATAGATGAACGAAAAAAAAAAAAAAATAGAAAAAACATTGAAAATCATCTGAATTATTATATATTATATATATATTATTATATATTAATCCTTATGATAACTATCCAGAAATTGAAATCTTTTTAAAACGATGAATTTGCTAATACTGTTTCTGTTGAATGATAAATAATTTTTTGTTCAACGTCATTTGTAAATAAAAATTGAAAAGAATCTAACGTGTATCGTCCATTGGAAGTGGAATTTCGATATATGTGGAAGGCTGACGATGTCAATGTCAAGTTTCGTACCGCGTTTCTTTTCGCGATGACATCATCGCAGCTAATAATGAACGAAGTTTAACACAAGGTGCAATCACCACTCGACGGTTGTGGTATTTTCGAGACGAAACGAGAAATTTGCGAAACACGTTACGCTCTATATCGCGCTGACTAACACGAAATTAAATAAAGAAGAGATCGCTCGATTAGTCACGATTTTCACGAAATTCTTCCATTCACTTTCGATATATTCCCGAAAACATGGGAACGCAATCTATTACGAAATTAATTTAATCAGATACGTTCGATTAATTCGTCGAAACATTCTTATAATCCGTTTGAATTCGTTTGATCGATTCAATCTTTCGAGTTACACTTCCTTCGAATTCCAGTCGGTATCGAATTTCGATTTTGAAATATTTTTAACGCGATTGTCATTGCCCCCGAGATATCACGATCGACAGCGAATTCCGGAAGCGTATCCACGTGATGTAATCCTTATGCGGGGATGTGACTCGAGCCAACGTGCTTCGGCAACATCACAGAGTAACATCGTATTCGCCGAGATTATTTTCGTAACACCAATAGAATGATCCACTTTTTAGATATCTATCCACCAAGTACACTCAAGATATACCAATAATAACCTACTATGCGTTCCACTATTCTATTAAAATATTCCATCACTTCGAGCAAAACTTTCTTTTCTTTACCCATCTAAATTTATCTACTCTTTTGAAACGGAATAAAACAACAACCTCGATGTTCGAAGAAACGCTCGATGAAAAAAAAGAAAAGATTTATCAATATAATATAAGATTCAACGTTAATAAATCGTACCAATCGAGTAATAAAATCGTCGATCGTGATCGAATCGATTCCTCGATAAAATCTCGTTCTTCCCTTCGAGGGTGATCGTTCTTCTTTTGATCGCGTGAGATATATGAAAAATTCGCCGTGAATATATTATCGGATAACAGTATGGCGCGGCACGATCAAGCTAAACAGCAGCGTTCGCGGTTCGAAACGTTATTAGAAGGGCGTAATAGCGTTAGCTTTGAATTTTCGTCTTGGCGAGGCGCCGCGACGCATGCGGCTTAGCATGAAACGCTCGCCAAGACGGATAGGAACGAAAATCGACGACAGCCGAAAAGCGGCGTACGCCGGTTCCTAAGAATAATGTAGCTTATCCGCTTCTTTTTCCTCTTCCTCTTCGTCTTCATTTTCGTCTTCGTCCCCGTGTTCGTGTTCGTCCTAATTTTCGTCTTCGTCGTGGTCTTTGTCTTTCTCTTCATCATTGGAAAAGAAGAACACACTCCCCCGAGTCGAGTGTGACCGAGTCGAGTTCATTGGCTCGAAGATTTTTGTCATCATGCTTGTTTCTAACTCTCTTTTGGCAACCGGCGATTCGACGATATTACAATGTGGATCGAGGGATTGCGTGCGATGTTGCAATACGTTGTATAATAAAGATTTCCATCCATTTTCGCGTACCATGTATTTGAATTTTTCGAAACAAGTATCAGAGATCGAATTAATACAATCGTTGGAATTCGTGTGAAAATTACAATCATTATTGTGTACTGAAATTGGATATAAACTTTGTTGCTGTTTTTCGCTTCATTCGGGTCAGAGCGATTTTTGAGATTCGTGACACGGTTGAATAATCCTTCAGAATCTATCAAACCAGGGTTTATTGTATCCGTATTGTAGACCATGGGAGTTAAGTTGTAAAATTTATGTTCCCGTTCGAGCACAACTTCGTCATTGAGATGAATCAAGCGGATGAATAATTACATAAAACGAACAAAATACGAAATAACGCGAAGCGAATGATGAGATTACGAAGAAATGATCAATCCTATCTACGATAAATATAATAAATAAATCGATAACAAAATTATTTCTAAAATCTAGACGTGAATCATTACTGCAAAAACTCGATTTCTAGGTTCGAGAACATAAGTAAACAACAACGAAGATAATCAAACTGCGTATCTGTCACATTTACGTTCGTGATAGAGATTTCACTTCTATTTCAAAAGTCGCCATATAAAATTCAACAATCCATCGATTTTCGAGAGAGAAAGAGAGAGGAAGAGAGAGAGAGAAGAAAAACCAAAAAAAAGAAAAAAAAAGAAGAAGAAGAAAAGAACAGTCACTACTATTATTCTCACACGACAACACCCGGATTCAAGAATATTTCTTTGCTACACTGCAGCGAGGTTAACGAGAGACACGTGCTGCACCGAAACACGTTTCCGCCTCGGTATCGATTGCTGATAGAGAGAGGCCACAAGGGCTGACACGGTCATAATATTTAAGCCAATAACCGTGTACAATCCCGCTAACCCAATAAACCTTATAACACTCGTGAAATTTTTCATCGTTACGTACTGTCAATCGACATTCCGTGCTCGTTGACCATCAGGTGCCGGCACTGCGTCCACGCACTTTCCGGCCCGGCGTTTCCACGACTCTTGCACAGCTCGGCAACCGCTTCAACGTGCTCGATAACGACTCGTTCGCGATGTTAATCCTCGATATCGAGAGAAATCAATAAAAGAGGAAAAGAAATTCGCGAAAAGCAATACCTCACCGCAATATCACTTCGAAACGAAGCACTGCACGATTCAATTATATTTATAACTCACTGAAACCCACACTCTTGACCTATGTATGTTCACTCCAATATCACTTATTCCACGAATTTGACCCGATCTCGTTCGCAACGTCGTTATTTAATTACCCGAGCACGGATCTCGAGTTTAATTCGACGTTATAAACGTCGTGAATCGAGCTTTCTCAAGAGAAAAAGAAAAAAAAAAAAAAAAAAAAAAAAAAAAAAAAAAAAAAAAAAAAAAGAAAAAAAAAAGAAAAAGAAAAATCACGATTTATTTTCACCAAGCAAATCGCTGTAACACCGCTGTTACACCGTCAATGTCACGTTAACGACTCGGCGACTCGATGTAGCCAGCCAACGACGATTGTTTAATAAGCTGAAAACGACACGCGAATCCAGCCTCGGCAACTTAGCGACGTGAAACTCCCGTCATACTTTTATTTCGTGTGTGCGTCGCCGCGTACGAATGATGACTGGCCGTGCAAACGCAACTCCGCGGATATTACGCCATGAAATTGCGAAGCGGGCCAACGTGCGGCGGTCGCTTCACTTTTCCTTCCTCAAATCTATATTTAGTGGTGAATTCGATCGACCAACCAAGGAGGGGTGATAAGTTCGGGGTTGGTGGCAACCCCTTTTTCCCGAAACGAGACCCTCCTATCTTCCCCCGCTGTGGCGTGCAACCGTGTTTTTCCTCCACGTTCGAGAAACGGTGTAATAGAGTCGCTCACGTGAGGATCACACGAATCGATGGAAATGCGGAGAGGATTACCTAATGTCGATTAATGACCCGAACGTCGCCTGTGCGCGGAATTACGGGATACGCGTTGCGCAATCCGTCGCAACGTGTTTACAAACAAAGTTATTGTTCGTAAAGTGGAAATAGAATTCGAGTCGTTCGTAGAGAGATACGAAGAAATTTTTCGAAATTATCCTTGTTTTCCTTCCCTTTCCGTTTTATTATTTTCCCCCACCCCTTTTCGACGAGTTTTGATTTGACGCTCCAACGAATGGATTGGACGCGTGGGTGTGGTGCGGTGGCCTTGGCATTCTTCGAGCTATCGTTTTCTCCTCCTTTGGTTTCGTTTTTTTCAAATTTTGAAATTTCGATATTGAGTTAAGAGTACTTACGTATAATAATATAGATAGAATGAATGGGTTTTTTGTACGAAAGATAATAATATTAGGAACGTAGGTTAAAAATGATTAAAAATCTTATAAAGTTTTTGGTTGAGAATTATTGTGCAAAGAAACCAGTGAACGATGAACACGTTAATGTTCCTTAAATTCGAAATTTATATAAAATATTTCCTTTTTGAAAATTTAACGAGCATCATAATAAATAAAGTTTCAAAGAAGAGAACTTAGTTAAAACGAGAAGAAACTCTATTCATATCGTAGAATTCAATGGAATCTGAATCGAAAAAGGAAGACTGTTGATTGAAATAATAATTGTAGATTATATTCTCGATCCTATTATCGTAATTAAATAATGCAGCGAAATCTCTCTCTCTGTCTCTTTCTCTCTCTTTTCTTTTTCTTCTTTGGTTAAAATTTAAGTCTATGATATTATAATCTTCGTTTCTTGATATTAATTTTATGACGCAACGTGTATTCTGATATATGCACAATTATTTACAAGGTCTAATTACGTCATGGGATTAATTTGGGTATGATGGAACACAGTGGAACACGTAATGCATGCTAAATCGATACACCTCGTAATCCATAAGGAATCTATCGCTATCGAGAAACCTTACTCGTGTCCTTTCCTTTTCTTCCACGTCTATTTCTATTTCTTTACTATTTCTTCTTTTCTACTCGTTCTTTACTCGACGAACGTATGACGAAATTCGAAATCAACTTCTCTTCGAAATCAAGTTCATCTCGACGAGGGGAAGAGAACGTAAACGTGCGTAAGATGAACGAACTGATCGACGAGTGAATTCGAAATTTACGGATTATTACAAATTAAAATAATTAAACGGTATGGCGGCTGTAGATAAGTAAATTATCCTGTAAAGTAAAAATTGTGACAAGAAGAAGATATTTATATAATAAATTGAATTATCGATATTTTCGATGCGAAGATAATCTGAAACAAAAAGTATGAGAGGATGGGGGAAGCGGATATTACCTTCCCAAGGGGATGGTAATATGCATAAGCAAGACACGCACATATATACACACGCATGCACATGCGTTGAAATCGCACTCAAACGCACTGCGTGATCCCTTCGTCGATGATT